TGCACGATCAATTGCCAATTCCACAAGGAACAGCGACGGAAAGCTAGAAGGGTAGACGACTACTACCATAGCACGATTTCCGCCGAAGAATGCATAGCAAAGAACTGCAGAATGCATAGGGCCCAAGTACGGGAAACGCCAGTAGAGCACAGTAAACTCCTATGGACGCATTGCAGGAAAGGATGCGCTATGCACCAACAACAGTTCGAGGATGCTCGACAGGTAGACAACCACTACCATAGCACCCTACCAGCGAACATTTGTGAGGCAAAGGATTGCCCGATTCACAAGAGCAGGAAGCCGGAACCAAGGAAGAGGACCACGCAACGAAAGATGCCCCATGAGAATATCCATTGGAGCTTCTGCTACAACGACCAGTGTACGATACACTATTCCGCCAAGGCAGGCGAAGGCTACTTCCCAAAAAAGAAGGGAAGCAGGCAGTCAAAAAACTAGGATGCCACCAGGGACAGGGTCACGCTGGCAAAGGCAGTCCTAAAACGACCCTTAGACAAGTACAGGAAGTGGGAGCAAAAGAATTGCAATTGAAAGCCACAGTACTTGTAGACGGACATGAGGTGTTAGCGCTCATAGATAGTGGGGCAGCACGAACCGTCATATCGCCACGAGTAGTGGAAAGAAACAACATACCCTATCGGAACAAGAAGGTACCGATGCGAGTGGTATTAGCCGACGATAGTCCCACGACATACGGGAACGGCTGGATCCGACTTGAGACCGAGGTAGTAACGTTACGCCTGGCTGGTCAAGAAAGCCGAGAAAAAATTAGCATTATGGATCTTGGAGAGACCGAGATGATAATTGGCTACGATTGGTTGTTGAAGCACAACCCTGCCATTGACTGGCAAAAGAAGACATTACTCAGCCGAGAGCCTGTGCACAAGGTTGCTGGAGTACGACACGAGACACGCCCGACGAATCAGCGCGCAACCCAGGATGGGAGATTCGGCATGATCTCACCGCATAAGATCGCGAGAATCTATGCGAAGGACCCTCAGAGAGTAGGAGTCATTTGGATACGGCAGATCGCGACCACGAAGGAAGGATCGGTACCACAGTTGGCGATTCCAACAGAATACCAAACGGACGAGTTCAGAGAACTGTTCGAGGAAAATGAGGCAACAGACCTAGCAGACCATCAGGATTGGGATCACGAGATCATCCTCGATGAGGGAGCTAAGTTGACCCCAGGACCAATGTACCCTATAGCGCCCGAGCACGATGCTGAGCTACGGGATTACATCCAAAAGAACTTGAAAAAGGGATTTATCCGACCAGGATCAGGCCCGATGGCCTCACCTATTTTGTTCGTAAAGAAACCTAACGGGAAGTGGCGACTATGTGTCGACTTCAGAAGGTTGAACAGCGTCACTCGGAAGAACCGATATCCCCTACCACTCATTACAGAGCTCATGGATCGACTCCAGGGAGCTAAGTGGTTCACGAAGTTCGATGTTCGGGAAGGATTTTACCGAATCAGAATCAAAGAAGGTCACGAATGGATGACAGCGTTCAAAACGAAGTACGGACTCTTTGAGTACACGGTTATGCCGTTCGGATTGACGAATGCGCCGGCAACCTTTCAATCAGTCATTAACAACGCACTCCACGAGTACCTCGGAATCTTTGTTACCGCGTATCTGGACGATGTACTAGTGTACTCCAGCGGCACACGCGAAGAACATGTCGAACATGTTAAGAAGGTCCTACGAAAGCTTAAAGAATACAAGCTATACCTTCAACCAGGAAAGTGTGAATTCCACACACAGGAAACGGAGTTCCTCGGATTCATTATATCAACCGAAGGAGTGAAAATGAACCCAAAGAAGATACAGACTGTACAGGAATGGCCAATACCCAAAACAGTCAAGGATATTCAGTCCTTTTTAGGATTCGCGAATTACTATCGGAAGTTCATCAGGGATTACTCAAAGATCACAGCACCCCTTACGGAAGTGACGAAGAAGGAAGTAGGTTTCAAATGGGAACAGGAACATCAGAAGGCTTTTGATCGAATCAAGCAGATATTCCTGGAGGCACCAGTACTCGAGATGTACAGCCCTCAACGACCCACCAGAGTCGAGACCGACGCGTCTGACTATGCACTTGGAGCTGTGTTGTCACAACAGTGCGCAGATGGAAAATGGAGACCAGTGTTCTACCATTCACGGAAGTTCTCAGGAGCAGAACTCAATTACGATGTTCACGATAAGGAACTACTTGGAGTAGTCGATGCCTTTGAACAATGGGAAGTGTACCTACTAGGACTCCCTGAACAGATCGAGGTTTTTACCGATCACCAGAACTTGACGAGTTTCATGACAACGAAAAAACTCAACCGACGACAAGTACGATGGGCAGAGATGCTAGCCCAGTTCGACTTCAAGATCACGCACCGCGCAGGGACGCTCAACGGAGCAGCGGACGCTTTAAGTAGAAGGTCTGATTTGCGCGAAGAGGGTCATAAAGAACCACATGACGCCTTACTCAAGACGATGCCCGATGGCAGTCTGAAGTACAACCAGCCGGAACTAGCTAAGGTAGCTAAGGTGGCCGAGCAGGTAGAAACACTACAGAAACAATGGCAGGAAAAAGCAACGTTATGGGCGTCAGAAACGGACCCCTACCCGCCAGAAGTAACAAACGATGGGAAAGAGCTCAAAGCTCTAAGCGAATGTACAAGCACGTACATACCCCCACATATGAGAACCGAACTCATTAAGACCCTGCACGAGTCCCCAGAATATGGACACGCAGGGGGTGGACGAAATGGGTTAGACGACTAGCT